AACCCAGTTGCAATGTTGTTTTGGTCCTTATTTTCCATTCTAAATCAGCATAAAATAATTAAAACACAATACACGACAAAATAACACACTTTCTTAAAATCTAAACACACTAAAAGTCGTTGAGAATAAGTTAATATGATTTTCTATTTGTAAATAAAAAAGTTATGCATAAGCAACTAACCGTACAAGAAAGTAGTTATATTGGTTGCCTAGATGTCAGTAATTTTTTACCAAAACACCATTTTATCAATAATTTAGTCAAAATTAGAAAAAATATTGTATGTAACACGTTACGAAATGCCGTTTTAAGTAACTCGTTCATGTTACTTGACCCTGAAGAAAATGTATAATAAATCAAAATATATTATTAAAAAAAAAGTAGTTTAAAAGTATTTTAAACCGATTTTTCAATATCAAAAATCCTATTTCCTTTCCGGGATCGATCAAACTAAATGATATATCTCGTTCCGTCAATTTTTAAAGAATAATCCTGCGACCCACTTCCAATATTAAGGAACTCGTGATTGGCAGGGCTTCCGGGACATTCATCATATTTTTATGCATTATTGATGTCGACAAATTGAATTTTGTTGAATGAATTAAATAAGAATATTCAATAGAGGTTAGAAGAAGAGAAGCCATTGAAATAAACGTGATACGGCGACGATTCGAAAATTTCTGAAAATTTTAAAGAAAAAAGGGTCTACATGTTCACCAAATACCGACGCGATATACATTCGGTGCTATAAGATGTATTAATACGCCTCGGTATAAAATTTGAGATAGGAAGATGCGATTTGCGGGGTAGTATTTTTAAGAGCACAAAAAATTTGATACCTCATAATTTCGAAAACCGTTAAGCGATTTTCAATTTTTTTTAAGGTGATTTGAAGGCGCTACTGTTAGAGAAAGACCTGTCAAATATACAAGTAGCGACATCTATTCGCACAATGGCAAATCTAATTTTTAGTTCGTTTATTTTTGTAGAGGTTGGTTAACCTGTCTATCATAAGTGTCAATTTTTTATATACATGTTATATGTCTTGAGTGTGTAATAATTGTAAAAGTTACTCGCATATATTAAAATAAAACATAAATTTAAAGTCTTTTTCGGTTCTATACCTCCACTGCGACACTAAAGTTACTAGAAGACCGTATATGCATATCTATCTGGAAAACTTTGACGTCATCGAAATTTATGAAAATTTAAATGAAATGTAAAATAGGGATGTAGGATTTTTTTTATTAATGTAAAAAAAATTGTCACATGAAATTCTGAGAAATGGTAAAGGGAAAATATTGAATATTGGGATAGTTATAAAAGAGTTGAAAATATTTTGTAAGCTTTGATTGTTGAAATAAAGATAAAAACAAAAAAGTAAAGAAAGAAATTTTTATTTGAGTTAAAGTTATGGCAGAAAAGAGAATTAACCAAAGGAGGAATAAGAGTAACAGGATAAAGTACAGGAAGACACCGAAAAGAGTCCAGGCAGGAAAACAGAGAAGAACAGGAGTGAACAGAGATGTAAAGAAGGAATAAACTATAAATTATAATTTTTTTTTGTTTACTTTAATTTTGTATTAAATTTTTTTTTTTGTAAATTTTTAAAGAACAAACCACCCACGAAAATACTATTCATTGGATACTGGGTGTTTCCATATCATTATTGTCATGAAATTCCTAAAGCCTACTCTGTGTAAGAGCGACCTTGGAAGTCTGCCACTCGATTCATGGTCGAAGCAACGCTGACGTGTGAAGACAGTCGGACCGCGTCTCGAATAAACAAGAAACGACGGATCTTCTAGGTATGCCGCTGACGCTTCGAGAAACTGCCGTTGAGTCATAGAGATGGAATTTTCGGGAGCGTCTACTAGAAATTACGAGCACAGAATTGGCTTGGTATAAATAGCCGACTTATCGGCGCACAGTTTAGTTTAGTTTAGAATATTGAAATGAAAAGTTAAAGTGTAATAAATAAAATGGAATTGTTAGTGTCTAAGTATTATATAAATTAAATAGTACGTCATAAATAAATTGTAAATAGCGTGTTTTAAATAAATAAATTATAAATAAATTAGACTATCGTCACATAATATATACATGAGACGGTTTCTATAGGATGTGATTGTAATATTTAACGGTGTTTTTGAGATATCTATAGAGATAGACAAATACACATTCTCGAAATTATGCCTCGAAAAAAGCGATGAGAAAAGAAAAACGCGTTTAAATTTTTAACGCCCATATCTTTGCTATTATTAATAAGTTAAGAAGGTAATCTGTCAAATGTGGTTACATTCAATGAGAAAAATGAAACTCTAATGCTAGTAGAAGAGCTGTAAGGGTATCAGAACAATACTTCCAAAAGTCGCCGCTAGATGGCGTCACCTGAATAGCTGCAGAATAAGCTAAGATATGATTCCAGAAAAAAAACAGGAACCATATAGTAAGTGACATTTGCTAGCTGGGAAAGTGACACATGCTAGCCCGGAAAGTGAAGTAAGCAATAAGTCGCTTCCCGACTGTTTTAAAGGGTTTAAATCCACAGATTACTAACAGATTGTGAGTAAATAAATATAGGCTGTCTGCATCCATGCAGCGGTACAAAATATTTTAAAACTATTTTTCTAAAACTTCCATTGACATATTAAATCTTTGGGAAGGCCTACTCTCAATTTAAAACTTACTCAGGTAGACAAAAATTAATATACAAGACGATTTTAATGATTAATTAGAGATAAATGTGACAAAAGTATTACTTGTACATTGTATCGACAATTTTGATGAAAAAGTTGTAAACACAAGTAGGTTACTTAGGATACCATAGATAAAAAATGTGCTAAATTAGAGGACTGCTGTATATCTGATCACCTTAATGGTTTGGTATGTTTTGATAAAGTTTATATATCTTAAGTGCCTTTTAAAAGTAGCCCCCTGTCACTGAGCACTCAATAAACTCATAGTGATTCATAATCTACTCGAGGAGACCTACATAATGTTAAATTTATTAAATTGTAGAAGCTTCTCTTAGGATTTGCAGTTATTAAATAAAAAATAATGATATTGATTTGACAGTATTTTTTTGATACCTACTGTTACAAAATATGCTAGCAAAATGACACAAGTAAATATTTAGTATGTAAGAAAAAAAACTAATAACATTTTTCACTTTAACATCCCCTGTTAGAAGTAAAGCTTTGGTTAAGTTTCTATAACACCTATAAAATTGTCTGAATGGTATACTTTCCTTCTAATGTTAAAGTTTCTATTAGTAGTGTTTTAATACATACTTACTCAATACATCAATTTCTTAAATCATATTTTGTAAAAGTATCAAATACATACTGCCAATCAATAAATACCTGCGTATTTCTGGATCTCGCCAAGGCAATTGACACTGTGAGTCATACACAAATGTTGGAAGTCTTGGGGGATGCAGGAATAAGAGGAACAGCAAATGATCTATTTGCTGATTATTATTTATATAATCGAAAACAAGTAGTAAAATAGGTAACGTAATTAGCAATGAAAAAATAATTAACTATGGGTTGCCTCAAGGGACAGTATTGGGACCCATTTTATTTACAATGTATATAAATAATATACTTACAGAAAACACAGCTGGACAACTTCTTAGTTTCGCAGATGATACTGCTATTTTATACAGTGCTGATAAGTGGGGCGAATTGAAAATTAAAGCTGAAAAAGATGTGGCAAAAATTCTAGATCTGTTTCGACACAAATTATTGACAGTAAACTTTGAAAAAACGTTTTTCGAATTATACAAGATGTTTGCCAGATTTCCAAACTCTAACTATAAGACAAGATATAACAATAGAATGCAAAACTAGTTATAAATATTTAGGAGTGACTTTAGACAGACATTTAAAATGGTATGCACACATTAATAATATAACGAAAACACTAAGACAACTTTTATATCATTTTAAACACTTAAAAAATGTATTAGACCAATCATTCTTGAAAATAATCTTGTTGAATCTCGTTTACGTTATGCTATATTGAGTTGGGGAGGTGCTAATAATTGTCATTTAAAAAAAACTTGATATAATACAAAAAAGAATTATAAAAATATTATTCAATAAACCATCTACTTATCCATCTCATTTGTTATTTTTTGAATCTGGTCTACTTGATATTAGACAATTATTTATGAATCAAATTATATTATTTATTTACAAAAATAAAACACTATTGGAAAAAGTTAATCATGTTTATGACAACAAGGTACAAAGGTACCAATAATGCAATCATAGAATTACTACAAAAAAAAGGGTTAGTCTTATAGTTACCTATCAGGTTCTTATAGTTATCTATCACATAAGATATATAAAACCTATCTCTTCCAAATAAATTCAGAAAATTTCATTAAAAATATATTTAAAAAATACTCGAAAAAATATATAATTCTACTAGGAAGAGATGAGACTAGCAACCTAATAAACAATACCTAAAAACTAAGTTTAAATTAGTTAATTTAGAAATGATTTCTCCTTCCTCTCTCTACCAAAAAAAATATATAGATAACATACTTATATTTTTATATTTTTCTTTTAGTGTCCATGCACAACCTCATTGGTTTGATGGACTAAATGTATCTATTTATTTATTCAGCATCTATAATTTGTAAATAAAAAATTGTAAAAACAATTATTGTAATGAAAAGAATAAATAGAGTTTATTATTATTATTATTATTGAAATAATGGCTGCAAATCTTATGAGAAGCTTCCACAAACTTGAAATAAAAGTTGTCAATTAGCCCACTTGTTTCATGAAAACCCCATCAAAAAATAATGAGCTGTCAGTATTTACTTCTAAAATCCATGGGACAATCCATTACTCTTATTTGAAATGTGATTTTAATTTCACTTATTAGAAAGATATTATACAAGTGTACAAAAACCTTTTAAATAACAGTAAAGTGATTAGTATATAGATGAGTAAATAGTAAAAAATAAAAAAGAAAAGGTACTTACAATAATTCAAAAGGTATAACTTGTAACAGAAATTTAATACGATTTGGCCGCCAGTTCTAATTCCCGCCGTCTGCTTCTTTTTCTTGATACAACCTTAGCAATTCCATCGCATCTTGAGCTTGTCGTTTCTCTGAAAGATACCTTCCGGAAGCTTCTTTTAAGTTCTCCAAAAAAAGCCTATCAGGGAAAGTTAAATCGACAAGAGATTCTGGATCCATATCACTCAGAAGCTCTAATTCGGCTCCCCCGAGCAGAGACACGTGACATAGATTATTTTTAAGTTTACCTACTAATCCCACCAATTCCTGGCCCCCTTTACTGTCATCTACTTGATCAATGTTTAATCTGCAAGGGGGCTTTGGGGGCATCCAGTTTTCTCCTTCTTGGAGGATCATTAAACTCGTATTTGTGTCTAGAGTGGCAAAATATTCCTCGTCATCTATTTCAGTACCATCTGTTTCCAAAACTACTCTAACATTTTCGATATTTTCTATGTTTAATTTATCGCGCACTTTTGAGGTTAATTCTTCTAAAGATTCAGCCACTATACCTTTTTTAGTTTCTCTCGAAAGGTCGGTAATTTTAAAAGGTTTTCCAACCTGTGATCCTTCAAGTTCCATTTTTCTAAATGATCTTTTTACATTTATTTGAAAACTCAACCTCTCACCTTGGACTCTTTGTTTAGACTGCGAGATTCGAAGGTTGCCGCCCTCCAAACACACGTATTGTTGGTTACCGACACAGGGCGCATGACGAACAAAGGGTCATTTACGGTCATAGAGAAAATCGATAGAATATTTTGGAAAACTCTAGACATTCGCCAGACAGTAGCAAAAATATATTTTATTATTTAATCATAAATTCAAAAGTAACGTCCAAAAATATAATAAACGTATAATAAAGTAGCCTATACATAGGCAACACATATTACGAGTACTTTTTATATAATGAGGACCACTACCGCCCTTTACTTTTAATTATTCAGTGGCGGCTCCTAGCATGGGCAAGGGGGGCCAGTTGCCCCCCCTGGCTTTTACGACTTAATCAACAACGCGTAAGATATTCCCTTATTACGTCACTTACATCACGCTTTTCCGAAGACTTTGTTAGTTTTTTCTTAAGCCTGTTATATCCCAAAAACAAAAAACACGTTTTTTACTACCGATTAGGAAACGAAAGTAGTGGAAAAATTTGGAATCAACAATTTTGAAGCTGAATACCAAACTGGAGTACGAAAAAGCTTTCTGCACACAATGAGCTCTCCATTAATGATATAGAGTCCAAAACATTGTGAATTTTATCCAGACATACAAATAAGTGGTTTAGAAAATATTTATGGCTCTTCCACCAACGACAGAGTTAATCGAAACGTTAAAACATGGCTGCGGTCTATTCGTACAGTGCGAAGTCATGGAGGAGAAGCAAAAGCGATACTAGCGCAAGCTGCGGATAATTCGAGTATTTTAGGGCGATATTTTGTAATTTTGGCTAATCAAATACACGTATACATTTTACTTTTTACTAAAACAATAGGTAAAAACAATAAAGTGAGCAACTGGAGTTGCCATGTTTCAAATTATACTAGCAAAAAAACTGTAAATTATATAAATTTTCAATAGCAAGATCGAAATTAAATCAAAGAAATAAATGGACAGCTGTATAATAAGAACAACAAAACAACTGTAATTTAAACAATAAATTATATTTTTATGATATTATTTAACATCCCTTGAATCTTAAATGTTTAGCAAATGATTAGATTTCTGCATTTGATTATCGTATATGGCTGAAATGCAATCTTGTGACTTATAGATAGAAAACCAGTTAAATTCATTAATTTCTATGAGTTCTTTCGAACTAAAAATGAAAATATAAATTACAGTCGAAAATATACCAATTATTTTTGTTAATACGTTTTAATTCTACGTTATTATATAATGGTAATATTTTCATTTTGACATTATTTAACTTATTCTTCAATGATAACTTATTAGGCTTAGGCAAGATCTCATAAATTTTCTCGTAAATACCTGCCTATGTTTTAATATTGGTTTTTATTGACTTTTTTTTTAGCAGAAGCAATAAAAATATATAACAATAATAATTTTTTCGCTTCTTTTACAAATCCATGTACTTTTAATAAAATTAACATATATATTTCTTAATTACGAACTCTATTAAAAATTGTATTGTCAGTATACGCAAATATCGTCCTTTAGTTCATAAAATAGTTGGCACTGCTGTCACGCACGGAGCGAATAATGAATGAAAGTAGGCTGACTGAAAAATAAATTATGTTTTCTGTTATCGGAGTTTTTAGTAGAAAATAGAAATTTAAAATTTGCGTTTTCCCAGTGTTTTTTGTGTATATTGATATATTTGAGTGAGTTTTTATGTTTTTGTTTTTTATAAATTTATATTTTTTATATTATTATGTTCATATTTTTCTTTTATAGCACACCTTCTGTTTGTTTTTTAAAAATGTGCTTTAAGTTGCTTGTTTTTTTTTTTTAATTTTAGTTTTTGTCTTTTTTTTTGGTTATTTTATTTATTAGAGACTTGTTATGACAACTTAAGTATCAGTTCTGTCAAATAGGTCCGCGACATCGTTAGGGTTACTACTAAAGTTCCACTCCCCTTATCTTCACTATTCAGTGAGATATCTGAATAATTTTGTTCTGTTTGAAAGACTGGAACAAATACTTTCTTATGATGGATTCAATTATTCTGTGACGTCATGGCTTACTTCCGGTTTTTCCAGAAATAACGAAAATCGAATTTTTTTTATTTTTAAATGGAAACCCTCTTTTTATTGTAAATTTAAATTTCTGGGACATTTTTGTATAATAATCGTGTATTGAAAAATTTCTGTCAGCTGTCAAAATGGCCGCTATATTGGAAAAATTTTCTAACATGTTACGATTAATTTATGGAAAAAATATAGGAATGTACGATCTTTATAAGCTTCAAAATTCCCATTGAGACCCACTTACTGTATACCAGTGGCGTATCCAAGCATTTTTATTAGCAAACCGTTTAATAATTCCTTCCGCTTTTATCTTCGTTGTTAATTGAGATATTGAAATGAAAACTTTTTTGTTTAAAAGCTTGGAACAAATACTGTCATATACTGGATTCAATTGGTGTGTGACGTCATGGCTTACTTCTGTTTTTTCGGAAATAACAGAAAATTTCAATTTGTTTTATGAAAAGAATGTGTTGAAAATTTTCTGTCAGCTGTCAAAATGACCATCATATAGGAAAATATATTTTTTAATGTTACAGAAAATTTTCAATACACGCTTCTTATACAAAAATGTCCCAGAAATTCAAATTTTCAATAAAAAAAGGATGTTCATTTAAATAAAAAAAAATGCGATTTTCTGTTATTTCTGGAAAAGCCATAAGTAAGCCATGACATCACAGAATAATTAAATCCATCATAAGAAAATTCTCTTTTATTTTTCATTTTCTTTGTTTTCCAATAAACATTCTAAATTTTTTTAAAATTTTGCCCCTCCCTATAGAATTGTGTAACGACGCCCATGGCTCCTAATCAAATTTACTGGGAAGTCCTAAAAAACCTCAACGTTCAGAAGTTACCATTTTTAATTTGAAAGTTGATTAATTAAAAATGAAATTATTAAATTTAACAAACATTCCTCTAAAGCCATGTACAATGTGTAGGTACAAGTGAAATAAAATACTCAATAATTAATATTATATTTATTCTTAGAAAACTAGCTCACACTCTATAATTTGTAATATATATTTAACAAAATAGTGGAGAAAATGGATGTAATTGGGACATTTCGCAACATTTACCACATTTATATATATCTAACACATTTATTTATTTTATAGATAGATATACATCAATATAGCTCTATATGTGCACTCAAAAAAGCCATAGAAAAATACATATTAAACCGTATTAGATAATATATTTAAAGAAGGGGTTCATTTTCAGTCTGAATAGTGTAAAGGTTGCCATTTGGCCATTATTGTTTAGAAGAAAACACCCGTCTTCCTCATTTCTCATTAACATTTCAAAATAACAGATTTTACAATAAAACACACATGTGTCACTGATATGTACATCAAATTTACAAGGTATTTATTCTCAAAGCACCACAATATTCTCAATAAAAATTTTATATGACAACCCATTAAAGTAAAGCTAAACCTACAAGGCAACCTACATAGCTACAGCTATACACCGAATTCCAAATTCCTGAGGACGACAATAGTTTCACTAAGCATTTCAGTGATAAAATTTGCTAAAATGCCCCTGCTAGTCAAGATATTTAGAGTTTAAAGCAGCCACATATCAAGATGTTTACCAAATTTCCCTGGACAACAATAAAAGGAACAAAAGAGGCTTATGTTTAGTTAAAATTATAAGAACAATATCCAAACTTTAAAATAAGAGGGAATTATGGAAATTTAAAAGTAAACTACTTTAACTTCCAAAAATCTTGAAATATATAAAATTACAACAAAGTGCAAGGGGTTTTCTCTCTAAAGGGGTTCACCCGTTGGCTGGAGAACCCAACAAGCAAGCAATCATCCTGTTCATGTTCGCTAATGTACTTGATGATGTCTTTAACGGCCATCGAAACGGGCATTCTTTTCACAGCCGCTTCCCTGCGAAGTTGTTCGGTGACCAAACGTTGCTGTTGTAGATTTGAGACAACCATGTCCATCAACGCCGTATCTGACAGGCCTATGGTGAATAATTTACCCGACAATGATAGGAAAGGAAATTGGGCGCGGCTTGTTAACCGCTACCAAATGTATAATTCGTTTTGTTATTTTGGCACTTGGTTGCAATGTCGGGAGATTTCTACCTTAAAGTTTAGAAAACTCGAGATAAAAGGACTAAAAATTAATCAATTAAATATTTACCTTCACAGCTTGTTGCTCACTAGAAAATCTGTCAACTGTCAAACAAATTATCAGTTTAGAAAAAAGACAGGAGACAGCACTTCTTCTTTTACAATAACTAATGGCCTTTTACCATCTAATGAATATTTAACAACTCATAAAAACGAAAATCGATAGAATTTTTATTTCTTTATTGAATTAGGACTAGGGTAGCCATATACGTACAACATTTTCAGTTTCATACGATTCAGTCTGTCCAGCATTTGATCTTGTACAGTAGTCGTATAGCAAAACGCTGTATTTGTCCAGCAAAACAATGTATTTGTCTAGCAAAACACTGTATTTGTCTAGCAAAACCACATAATTTTGCCGCGTTTGAGAATCCACATCGGATGCATCTGAGATGTAAAAAATCTTTGATCACGTGATTCAGTATACGTAAATGTAATGGGACAGATGTGTCCGATGTGGATAAAAAAACGCTCGAGATGTAAAAAATGCATCCGATGTGGATTCTCAAACGCGGCAGTTGATATGTGCTCGCAAGTGTCTATTAGTCAGAATCGGCTTAGCAAAAATGTGTTATAAAACCAAATTTCAGCATTTGACTATAGTAAAAAAATCCTAATTTTTCATTTCAGGTATTTTTAAACAAATAATGATTTTATTAACTATAACTCAATATGTCATTTAGGCATTCTCTCCATTAACTCTTTTAACTTCAAATCAGAGATATCATTCATTGATAAAATATAATATTCACGATGCCAAGATTAATTCGACAATCAATACATTCTATATATGTAGGGACACGGCGAGGAGAGGAAAAGTGAAAAGTAAGAGAGGGGATAAAGAGAAGAATTTTAAGCAGATACAACTTTTTTTATCAATGAATAAATGTGTAAGACGCTGTGAGCTTAGAATAAACAACGTAAATATCCATGCCGGTGTAAGCCGCTTCCAACCTAATGAACTTAAGTTTTATTTCGGCCTGACGTGAAACGATTTGATATTGGACAAAGTCGGAACATCTGGGGGGGTACTTTATGGGAGGCCGTTTTTATATTTTATTTAATATATCTGTTATTTATGTTTGGAGAAGAAAATTGTTCAAATAAAAGTTACTTCTAATATTATTATCTATAATTTTTGCCTTATGTCAAAATTTCCTGAAATGGTCCGTATTCGAGAAATTTGACAAAATGTGCAAAATTCTGATTTTTATGAAAATTGTTGAACTAAAAGTTGTTTGCGATATCGATCTCTATAATATTTGTTTGTACACGATTTTTCTAAAATGGACCGTAATGGAAAAATTGTAGGAAAAGTGCTAAATTTAAATTTTTCAGTATTTTCGTTTTCAATGAATATCTATAGAAAAATGTTTCGAGGTGGTAATGTATGTGGAAAATGTATATATTTAGTTTATCCTCTAAACATTTATAGAGGTGCTGCAATAGGTTGTACAAAATAACCGGAAAAAGCAACTAATAACTAGGTAGGAAAGTCATGTGTTGGACACATCAGATTTTTAATTTTAGAGCCTCAAAAACTACAGGAAATATTTGTATTCAGGAACACAAAACTAATTCAAATAAACCACATGGGTTCCAATTTATTGTCTATTGGACTGAAATAAAAAGGAACGGGGGTATAATTAAAATAAAATTAAAGTCAATAATATATTTGTTTCAAAAGTAGTAAATGACAAACAACAAAAACATTAATACAAACAATAATCAAAACATATTTAAATAACAATTGGAAATGGACAATAAAAGGTATATTTAGTTGTCAAGAATTGGTTGTTTATCCAAATGCTTAACAGCTACATCATAGTTCATTTTGTGTTTTTCCATAAAAATTTTCAAACAAAGCTCAGGCAACAGAACTTGAAAAAAATACTGAGTTTTTTTATCTTCAGGGTCAAAAGCCTCTTGTAACAGATCAATTAAATACTCGTTTTGTTCAAAGGTAAACACTATTGTACTAGTATTATATGTTAAATCGGAAAAAGAATTTGTTATTACCCTATTTTTATCAAAGTATTTATCATGACGTTCATTTTTAATTTTCCCACTAATAATACTATTAAGATATTTCCTATTTTTTTTAAATGATTTTAATAACTGTTCATTAGTCAAATCCTTACAATGTAATATATTTTCTTTTTCTTGAGGTGCTTCTTCTATAAAGGGTTCAAATAGTAAGCTATCATCATTCATAGGAACAAACTGTGCTAACTTTTGTTTATCTTTTTCAAGACGTTCTTTATCTCTAAGAATTTCATCAACTGTAGGTACATGTACACCATATTTTTGGAAAAGGGCTTTCTGTTCCTTTTTTGTAGTCGTAATTTTCTTATTTTTTTTGCTTTTATTGTTTAACATGTTAGCAAAACTAGGTAGTTCACAACTGTCTGAAGAATTGTATCTTTTAAAAGGTTTTGTTTTGCCAGAGGAACTCTTCTGTACAGTTTCTGCAATCTTTTCTTTGCTATCTTCTGTTTTATTCCTACTTCTTAAATTTTTTGGAGTTTTGATAACTTTTTCCTTAATACTAGCAGTCTTTGGAGAAATTGTGTTGGTTTCAACTTTTTTGTAATTTTGTATAGGTGATTTGGAGGTTTTTTTAAGTTGAGGGCTCTTACTTTTATGTAATCTAGATCTGATAGATATATTCTCAGGCGATTCTGTTTTGTTTAACGTTTGAGAGGAAGATTTTGTATTTTTTTCTCTACTAATATTCCTCTTCCTAGTATTCGAATTTGTACTTCTACTTGATAACTTCGATTTTACCTCTTTAATACTATCTTTGTGACCAGTGTTTGGACTATCTATAGATTGATTTAATGAGTGTTTTTTAGTATTTCCTGCTTTATTAGTTTCCGGTAATTTAAGAGGGGAACAATCATTTTCTTGTTTATTGTTTGCATGCTTTGGAGATTGTATTAATCCCTTTTTACTTAACCAAACATCTAGCTTCTGATAGTCCTTAGAAGATTGTGTTTTTCGTAATCGTTTTGCCAGGGGAGATAGGTTTCTAAGTGATTCTGATTTTGAAGACATTTTAAGCGCAAGAGTTATTTTCTGAGGTAATTCATCTATTTTCTTGAGAACTCTTTATTGGATCTACTAATCTACTTAACGAGCTTTTACTGTGGTTGTTTTTATTTATACTAGAGGTAGAGATATAAAAGACATTTTTAATTTGAATACTTAGGTGACAGACGACGCACATATGACAAGTTAAACGTCTTTTTTTTTTTCGATATGGCCTTATCCCATTATCTACTACGGGACTAAACTTGCTGATATCTAAAGTCCAGGGAGGATTATTTTATTTTCTTCATAAAAGAAAGAAGAAAATTTCTACAAAAAAGAAGAGAACTTAAAAAAAAGAAGAAAACTTAATGTACAAAAGTATTTTTTATTATTCAATATTTATAATTTTCTCATTCATGTAATAAAAATAGTAGTATAATTCGATTTTAAATGACCTCGTTTATTCAACTATATATTTGTAGTTTCATTAATATCTCAGTTATTTAAATTGTTTTCATGTCAAATTTGAATAAGCCAATTTTAAATTTAAAGCAGGTAATAAGTTCATATATATAGAACTTTTTCTTAATCATGTTGTTTACTGTGCCAAAAACCTAACTTATTTAAAATTTAATTCAAATTTATTTTCAGTTTATCTTAAAACAAGATGTAAAAACATTGTATAGGAGAATTTTTCGTGCTATTAAAGAGGTACCTGATGAACATTATCGCCAAGAATTAAAAACTTGGGCAAGGACTGATTTCAGAAATAACTCCCATCACACAGATGAAATTGCAATAAAGATGTGCATAAAATATGGAGAAAGGTGCTTACGAGAACTTGAAACAAGTTTAAATCTGGCAAAATAGTGTAATTTAATGAAAAATTATGTACAAAGTAGTTTAAAATAAATTTAAAAAATGGCATCTAACATCTATTTTAAATACAACCTTAGATATTACAAACATCTTATAAATCCATCTATATCTAAGTAGGAAAATTATTATAAAAAAAATATAAACAATGTAAAATTAATATCAATGTAAAAAATGTTGTAATAGTAGCTACAATTAATTTACATTTTTTATTTCCTAACTTTTCTCTTAATAACATATAAACTATTATTTCCATAATGTATTGCCCATCCATATAACTGAGTGGCATTACATTTACAAGTGCTAGACCAAAAGATATGATAGTTAAATATTTGATAAATTTTGTCATAATATCTGGAACATCTGTAGTTTTAAAAACCAAATTAGGGATATAAGACGACACCTCAATTGACCTGGAAATATCAATTGGATACCCTAAATAGACTACTAACTTATCCTTACAAGACAATTTTATTAAGTATGTAAAATTGCTCAATATTGGTCTAAAACAATACCTATTATTTGGGCAAATGTGAGGCGATTGTGTGCAAATGGTTGGAGATTCTTCTACCACTTTTCTACCAGGCAAACAAACATGACTTGGTAATTCTAAGATGCCATCATCATTGCTGTCTAAGTACTCAAAGCAAATGTTTTCCGATTTTGTACCATCACAACAATCTAGATTACCATTTACAGAATATTTCAAAGGAATACTTTCATCTAAACTATGGACTAATTTCGGGTCAATACAAAATCCTGTTTGATGATCTTTTACTTGATTTAAACAAGTGTACCAGCTATTTTCATCAGACACTTCACAATCATTTATTCTAAAAACTGTATCTCCACTAACAAGGCCTCTAGGTCCCAAAATTGGGGAATTTTTGGCAATTTGTGTGATAGTTATGCCTCTATTAACATGAAAGATCATACTGAAAATTACAGGAAGTAAACAATATAACATTATTCCAATTACAGACAGTACTATATTATGCCAAATACCAGCACACATTATTCTTAGTGTTTTCTTGCCTTCTAAATTAAATAATTTCTCTGTAGATAGATTAACATAGGCTACAGGGAGTATAAAAAATATGTTAGCCCCAACTTCAATAAGATTAACATCATCTAGCACTGCTGCTAATGCATGCCCCAATTCATGTACTATACTGGCTACAATAAGAGTACCACTGTAGTACCCAAGCTCAGAAGCTGGCAAATTTAAACCAGGAATTACAGGTTCAAGTAAAATATGTTGTTGTTTCTTAGTAATGAAGTTTTGAAACACGCTGTACAATAACATTATAACTGCTATGGGTACAAGTATTAAACTAGCATAAAGTCCTAGATTAAACCAAATGTTGAAAAAACTAAGTCGACTGTTTCCCCAACGTATTATAGTCCGATTAAAGGCCTTTGTTTGCCATTTTATTGTCAGAAATTGTATTTTAAATCCCGTTCCTTCCAAGAATTTTATATAGGGATAATGAGCACAAGACTGAAATAAATAAAAACTGTATGATTATTTTTCTACATATAATTTAGTTTTTACCTTGAAAAAGTTATCCAAAAATAAAAAGATGCCATATATAAAAGCTATAACAATAAGGCTCGTTGTAATATCCATTTTTTCATATACATTTATGTATTTACATGAATATTTAAAAAAAAAATCGAAAAACTATCTAGTGGAATTTTATTTTGGAAAATCGAAATGTTTTGACTTTTGACATTTTTTAACTAAAAAAAGTGATTGGCAATTTATGACTATTTGGTTGGCAACATTAAAAAGTGACATTTGGTTATGACGAATTCACAAGCAAAATTTGAGTTGCCGGTAATTGGTTAACAGGAAATAAATAAAGCGATCTACCAATTATATTAGTTGTGCGATGACACGAATAATTTGAATTAGCCTTAAGGCGTAAAAGATTGATCAAACTGAAAAAAATTGATAAACCACAAATTTTAGAGTTTTTTTTCGATTATTTTGCGTTATGGCAGTTGGAAAATTTTTAGTGAATTAGTAAGTTTACAGAAATTTAATTGGAAACTACAAAGTTAAGCCATTGTATTTTTATAAATTTCATTGACTGCGTCTACTGTGATAGAAGGTTCTTTTACACACTTGAACATCTGTCAATTTTTCAAGAAAACGTCCGAAAACAGAAAACCGAAAGTTTTTACCGTACCATATTTCAGTAGGTCAAGAATTTTATAAAGTAGAAAAAAATGAGCACCCCTCAAACTTTTAAGGTGAGAAATGAAGTAGATCTCTGTCACGGTTGTAATATATTTTTTTGTTATTTAAGCCGTCCGCAGGAAAAAGGGAAGAATTCCGAAAATATTTAGAAAAAGCTGGGATAATGGATGCCTTAACTAAAGTTTTGGTTGATCTATATGAAGAGGTTGATAAACCAGAAGATGCATTAGTGTATCCTTTTATTAACTGAAACACAACAATCTGTCATTTTGAAATAAACCTGTCACTAATTTTTATCTTCAGAAATAATTTGTAATCAGGGACAGGGAAACGGAATTTAAAAAAAACTTATGGGTTAGTTTAGCCAAATGTGAACCTACCAAGGATGTAGCTACATGGTTTTTAAATGTGTCGACTAATTGATTTGGTTCCTGGAAAACAAAAAGTTGTCTTGGGTTGCGATTTATTTTTATAGGAAGTAAGGTCAACCTTCACCCATCTGTTTAATGGATGAAATATATTTTTTATTAGATAAAATGTTAATAAATATACCGCAAATGGGTTGCCTAAGAAAATACTGTCTTAAAGTAAAAGAAAAACTACACCCTATAAAAAGTATCCTCTAGATGCTTCGACTGTGCCCAAAATTTTAATCAGCTCACTGCAGGATGCATTAAAGCTTAAGTTCAAAATTTGGTATTTTTCTCTATCCATTTTTACTTTCCTATCTGTATACAGATATAAGGAAAGTATAGGAATCATGATTTTTTACGACGGATTTTTACGTTTTGAGGTCCCCTGAATCCGTTTTGACTATTTTCGCGATGATGTCTCTGTATGTGTGTCTGTAGGTCGCATAACTCATGAACCGATACACAGAAAAACACCAAATTTTAAACTTAAGCTTTATTCCAGCGTCTAATGAAATGATTAGATTTTGGGCAGAGTCGGAACATCTGGGGGGGTACTTTGGTGGTAATTTTTATATTTTATGAAATATATGTTATTTACGTTTGGAGAAGAAAATTCTTCAAATAAAAGTTACTTCTAATATAATTATCTATAATTTTTGTTCTATACAAAATTTTCCTAAAATGTTCCGTATTCGAGAAATTTGACAAAATGTAAAAAAATATTTTTTTTATAAAAATTGTTTAAATAAAAGTTGTTTGTAATATAATTCTCTACATTTTTATTCTATACATAATTTCTCTAAAATGGACCGTATTCGAGATATTTGAGAAAATGTGTAAATTTAGAATTTTGAAGAAAACTCAAAAACGGATAAAGAAAAAACATTAAATTTTAAACTTAAGGTTTATTTCGGCCTGAAGTGAAATGATTAGATTTTGGCCAAAGTCGGAACATCTGGGGGGTACTTTATGGGGGGCCGTTTTTATATTTTATGGAATATATGTTATTTATGTTTGGAGAAGAAAATTATTCAAATAAAAGTTACTTATAATATTATCTATAATTTTTGTTTTATGTTAAAATTTCCTGAAATGGTGCGTATCCGAGAAATTTTGACAAAATGTGCAAAATTCTGATTTTTATGAAAATTGTTGAACTAAAAGTTGTTTGCGATATCGATCTCTATAATTTTTGTTTATACATGATTTTTCTAAAATGGACCGTAATGGAAAAGTGCTAAATTTAAATTTTTCAGTATTTTCGTTTTCAATGAATATCTATAGAAAAATGTTTTGAGGTAGATGTATGTGGACAATGTATATATTTAGTTTATCCTCTAAACATTTATAGAGATGCTGCAATAGGTTGTACAAAATAACCGGAAAAAGCCTATAAAAACTAGATAGGAAAGTCATGTGTTGGACACATCAGATTTTTTAGGGAAATTATGTATATAACAAAAATTATAGAGAATGACATCACAAGTAACTTTCATCATTATTCCTTCTCTGTATATAGAAAAGAAAGTAAAAAATAGCCTTGACAGTATTTTTGTTAATAAAAAATACCTTTCATCCATTAAACAGATGGGTGAAAGTTGGCCTTACTTCCCTGTACTAGTATTTTTTCTGGGTTATAGCCTTATAAAACCTGCTTATTTGCCAATTGCCTATTACAATATTTTTATTACTGTACTAATTTTTACTGTTTTACTTTAAATCTGCAAATGTAATCGTGAAGAAGGCAAAAAATATTCTATTTTTGTCCTGCATACTCTGAAAATGTGATATATATGTAAGTTGTTTTTTCGAATAACATGCTGCTTCTTTGAAGTCAAAATAATTGTAAAAATGTTAGAATGCCATGTTTCATTTGTAATAAAAATTAGTTCATTTTTGAAAATTAAAATTTTAACGTTTTTGGATGTGACCCAGTTTGGGTCACACAGTCTGTGGTAAACTTGATTTTATTTTTGTTTTGCACGGACTACATGTATGTTTTTTTGTTAAAAATTATTACCAAACTTTCTTTTGCCAAGATTTAACAATAGTCCAGAGGTAAAGTTTCAGAATTGCATATATCCTTAACATCTACATCAGTTACATAATTGATAAATTGTCCCTTCAAGCTGGTCTAGAGACACAAAAACAACTCAATGCTAAACTCGAAGAAGCATATGCACACATTAAAACTGTAGAAGCAGAAATTGAAGCTTTGAAAGTTCAAGTGTCTGAGGTTGAAGGAGGTCAAGAGGGGATAGACACTAGGTCTACCCATTCGACAGCCCATCCAGAAGCAGCAGAAGAAGGTGGTGCAGCCGAGGGTGGTGAGGAACAACCACAACCAGCACAGTAGCCTTCTACCTGGTTGTAGTTATGCCAAGAGACCTTTTAGTTAATTTCATATTTTGTGTACTTGATTAGCACTATTTAAAGCAAAATTTTGGTAGAATATTAAAATCTACTTACTTATGTACTTACAATGTAGTAATAATGACGAATTCCTTTTATAGATTTGTAAGTTTAATACTTACTAAAAAAAAAAGGTAAAACTACATTTTTCTGAACGTTTGAAGAACTTCCCTTTCCCTGTTTGAAGCTAGTATTAAATTGACCAGTGAGATTCAAGTACATACAATATTTTTCCATTTATTACATTAAAGTTCCTTTATCATTCTAGTTGTTTTTATTTTGTAAAATAAATTTTATTTTTTTGACTTAAAAAGTTATTTGAATGTGTCACACTAGGACAAAAATGGTATTTTTCACATACAAAAATAATATAGTTGTTTTGAGCCTTGAATTTATTTGCAAAAGAGTATATTATGTAGTATTATTGTGTTAGTTTCTTTGATGACAGTGTAAAAATTAATATAAGAAATGAATTTATTTATAATATTAGGGAGCCTTGAAATTTAATATTTTTTGTAAAATCTAAAACGATTTATGAAAATATACCAAACCTAATTTAATATGTACAATTTGAATAATATTTTCTTATAAACCAATCATATTAATTTGAACTGTACTCCAAGGTAAATATTAAATTAATTTGAATTGCAATGATGACTGTCTTACCACTTAACATCCAAGTCTTTTTATAACATTTTGTGTAGTTAGATCAATTAGAAAAAATATTTGAGAAAAATTGTATGAATTATTTATATGGTTAAAATATTGACACTTTTCTGGGAACTGTAACATTTTGTGATTGTAGTTTTATGTAATTACTAATATAAGAATATTTATTTACTTTTTGCACACCTTTAGAATTTACTCAATTTTTTTTTGCTTGAATATGTGTGAGCTAACAGTATAGTAATTGTTCAACATTGCCAAATTTTTTTTTTTTAGAATTTACTCTTTCTTAGTTATGCTCATTTCACATTCCAAAAATATTTTGGAGATATGCAGCAAGATGAATATGAGGTAGCCATAATAAATGTTGGAGGGAGGTTGTCAGAGTGCAATAATTAAGCTATTGTTGACTGAAACCACACAAATATATACGAAACGTAAATTAGGAATTTTTATTCAAGTTTTTTTCAATTTTGTGGACATGTATTATTATAGTATTTTTAGGTAATAACCTTTTTCTATTACTATTTGGTTGTGCTTTCCTACTTGTGCAATAAAAAAATGTTTCTAAAACATATTATGTACTATTAGTTTCCATTTTTTAAATATTAATTGTTCTAATTTTCTCTAAAATCTGAATTAATGTTTTTTTTTTGTGACGCCATAAGTAAATTATGGCAATTATGCTAAAAATAAATCATGTTAAATCTTTCTGAATTAAATGTATAATTTTTGAAGTATTTTTTTAATATCCACATCCTGATTATTAAAAAAAAATATATATAACTTTGTTTAATGTTTAATCAAATAAAAGATATAAATTAAGAATATTTTTTTTAAATATGAGTAGTGATCGCCTGTCTCATTTTCAAAACTGAAAGATGATGTTAAAGTTATAATACATACATTTTTTATACCCTGGAATTTATGAATGCTCTTGTAGAAAACCTGTTTATTTTTCAACATAATAATGACTTTGGCTTTTACAACCTCAATTATTCATCAATACATTGGTTTCTATGGTTTGAGATTAAGAGGCAAATTTGCTCCTCAAATACAAGATATATCTATAGAAATTTGCAAAATTCATGTTCGGTTTAATTAGTATTTCAAAATATTAACATTTCATTAAAAAGTAAAGGCTTCGAATTTCAATTCGCAAAGATCTTTTATTTCGCTACTGCTGCTGCTTTGAGAGCTTGACGTCGTTTTACATCCCAGTTATACACTCTTGCCATATTAACTTCAGTTGTAGTAAATTGGTCTCTAAAAAAAATAATTTGAACTTACTACAGCATGCCTTTGCTTTGAGTCAAACAGTATGGCCCCCACCCTTAAAAAATTAGGATTATGATTGACAAACTGATAGGTTATAAAAATAACTTGTCAATCATACCCCAGTAAATAATGATAGGCATTGAAATAAAAAAATCCTTGATGTACCTTAAGAAGTCCAAATCATGTTCAACATATCCCAAATTCCTTGTAGCTGCTGAAATGTTCTGTGTCAGCAGTTTCTTTGCATCTTCTAAGCTATATTCCAGCATAACGTTTGCACCTAACCACAAATAAACAGTGTCTGTAGGAGGAACTTTAGCTTTAGCAAATACCTGTTCACTGAGAAGAAACTGAGTTTCGAATTCCTCTTTCTCTTCTTCAAGCTTTTCAATCATCGTGAGGGACCTTTTCAGTTCAGGCACCTGATTTAATAATCGTTTCTTTTTTGAAAGAAGGTTGTATTCCATATATTTATACTTGGCATGTTGGTTATCTAATCTTTTCAAAACTTCGTCTACATTGCTATTATTTTCGGATCTTTGCATGTAAGCATCTACATCTTCCTGAGAGTTAAATTTTCATAAGGTAAAAATAGGGTTAGACTATTTATTTTTAGAATTTCTTTATGGTTTTTTAAAAGTACTTACTACAAACTCTGCTTCGGGTATCCCTGCATATGACTTTTTATCTCCTAGTTCATTAGCATTTGTTTCGATATCCATTTTGCGGTTTTTAATTGAAATTATTTGTAAATTTCAATGAATTAACTCCACCGCTGAATTCTTTTATATGACAAATGACAGTAACATGAAGGAAGAACAACGGAAGAACCACGAACTAAATGACACCGGACTATAGATCTCAGAAACCCTAGATGCAGAATATAGAAATCAAATTTTGACCCCTACATACGCCATGATAACTGAGTTTTAAGTTGGCACTACTGACAAGACAGAATCGGCGTAAGGTTACTGTAGTAAAAATAACGGAGTAACATTTTCACAAATATTTTTGCCGCGTTTGAGAATCCACATCGGATGCATTTTTTACATCTCGAGCGTTTTTTTATCCACATCGGACACATCTACTACATCTACATCTGCGTTTGTTTATCCCAGATGTACCTGTTCAGATTACATTTTTTACATCTCGATTTGGAATGAGATGTGAATGAGATGTTCGTTCCATGCCAGAAAGTAAGTGTTTTGTGAAGCCTTGTTTGTCAATTTATCCTTTGTTTATGCTAGCATGAATATAAAAGTGATTAGTTTGTTTAATTTTTGTTTATATTTCAAATTTAGGTTGATTTGTAGTTTCAAAAGTCAAATTTAATAAGTATAAACTTCTAACATGTCATTGACATTTTATCACGTGACCAAATAAAGTCTAGAGCGTTTGTTTATTACATCTACATTCAGATCTAATTCTCTATCACGTGATAAAAAATTCCCAACATCTCAGATGCATCCGATGTGGATTCTCAAACGCGGCAGAAGTCTAGTTAATAAATAATTTTTTTGTGGTGCTGTATACCATACCAAAACATTTTTAGATTTAATGATTGGTAGCTATAGAGAGACCATTGATTGATAATTGTTTGAAATTACGAAAAAAAGGTCACGTTTCACGCAACATTGGCCCTTTGGGGCATTCTAAAATTAATAGTCTTGATAATTTTGAAATTATTAGGAAAACAATAAGAGTAAAATTAAATAAATCAACTATAAAAGTGATGCCATGCAGTTGTGGCTTGCTTTATTGTTTTATATTTTTAACTAAAATTTCAGCTTGTATGAAATTTTTATTTAAGATTTATATGGCAATATTTTTGTTCGCAAACTTCATGCGTGAAGAATCTTCCACGCATTTGCACAACTTAAAGTATCCGCTTCTTCAGGTATTTCCACACTTGGTTCGTAAATAACTCTTGTTACGCATGAGGGCCTAAGGTCCGTATTTATAAACAAAACTCAGCTGAGTCGGACTTGGGTAAGTCGTCCTTGAACGAAAATCTAAGTTCGGTTATATCGCGTGAATTTAGAGATGGGTAGTAACAAATCCGTAAATGTACATAACAGTTACAGATTTGCTAATGGGTCCTATGAATGAACGTTTACGTTATCCGTAACGTACATGTTAGGCAGAGTTTTAACAGTAATGAGGCAAGTTCGTATGATGGAAACCTTTTTCCAACACGTTACTGTTATTTTCCGCCTGTTATCTACTAATTTAACAGTTTTCCATCATCCGTTACTTTTAAAATTCGGCCTAACATGTACGTTACGGATAACGTAAACGTTCAATCATAGGACCCAATATCAATCTCTAAATGCCAGTCTAACACCAGAACAACCTAGAACTTTAGAGACGATGTAACCGAACTTCGATTTTCGTTCAAGGACGACTTACCCAAGTCGACTCAGCTGAGTTTTGTTTGTAAATACGGGCCTTAATTAATGGAGGTCTTTTGCTATTCTTCTATTTATAAGAACACAGGTCAGGAATCAGCTGAAGTCTGAAATTTCAATTAATCAATAATTAAAAACTGCTATGTTGTAAATATGTAACAAAATGTTAATTAAACATTTTTTTCTATTTCAAACGCAAAATAAAATTGACTGATAATAAATCAAAGTGTATTTTCTAAACATATTAAAGATTCAAAATAAATTGATTGTGATTCTCTTCCTTTCTATTCTCATGATGTCTCTTGAAATGTCTTCTCAAATTTGTAGAATCATGGTATTTTTTATCACAATTGCTGCATTCGAAAGGGGTGATACCATAATGTATTCGCATATGAACTGTTAATGTTTGCTTTTGAGAAAATGTTTTTCCACATACTGTACACATAAATGGTTTTTCTCCAGTATGGATTCTCATATGTCCGTTCAGATGAGAAGCACATGAAAACTTTTTGCTGCATATTTCACATTTGAAACGATTTAAATGTATCTGAATATGAACTTGTAATTTAGACTTTTTATTAAAAGTTTTTTCACAATAAGAACATGGATAAGACTCTACGTGGGTATTTAAATGTTCAACTAGATCATCTTTTGTATTAAAAACTTTGTGGCACTGAGAACATTTATGTGTTTCTTCTGAAGTATGCATTTTTGTTGAATGAATAAGTAAAGTTTTTGTTGAAGTAAAAGTTTTATCACAATCTGCACAATTAAAAATTTTATTCCTGTCTTTGTGACATTTCAAATGCTTTTGCAACTGAGCATTTGTTATAAATTGTTTCCCACATGTACTGCAAAGAAATTTTTTGATTCCTTCATGGATCAACTGGTGGTTTGAAAAGCCGGACCTGCTAGCAAATATTTTTCCACATTCTTTGCATTCTAGATGAAGATGTACTCGTTTTTCAACATACTTTCTTTTGTACTTAGGTGTTTTTGACAAATTTGGATTATGTAGCAGGTACATGTGCTTGTAGAAGTGTCTGGATACTTTAAACCTTTGACCACAATGTGTACATACGTAAGGCGTTTCTCCAGTGTGAAAGTTTTTGTGTTCTTCCAAAGTTCGTTTTCTTAAAAAGCCTTCTTGACAAATGTTACAGACAAATGGTTTTGTTTCTGTTCCATGCACATTCAAAGAATGTCTCATCAGATATTCAGCATATGGGAAATTTACAGAACATTCTGGGCATTCATATATTTTATCTTTTCTGTGGGACGCCATATGAGCTGCTAGGCTACGTTTCGTAGTACACAGCTTCTGGCACTTAAAACACTTAAATTTGGGGCATAATTCCACATACATATTAGCATTGGCAATTTCCTCTGGTTGATGAATTTCTGACTCTAAAGTTTCTGTTATATAAAATTGTGTTTTAATATCAACTTCTTCGTTTATAGAACCTGTGCTAAAACTAGTGACTTCTATGTGTGTATCATCGGCCAATGTCTCTAAAATTGTATTACAATTTTGACAATTTTCCACAAATTTATGTATATTATCCAGCTGAGTCATACATTGATAGCATATATTTTTTGGAAGATTCTCAGCATTGATCTAAAATTTATACATGATATACAGTGTGTCCCAAAAAGTTTTATACAAATGGGAAAGATTTATCTTATATTTATTTCACACAAAAATATTCTTGATACAATAATATGAGAAGTTATTATTATACATTGATAAAGGCTGAGGACACAAGTCCTATGATAGCCTAAAATCAAAATAGAAAAATTCTAACAAAGTAAACACACTGAAACAAAAAGATGAGAACACTAAAAATTAAATAAAAAAGTTAAAAAAACACTCTTCTAACTTATTTTTAAAGACATTAACTGTTATGGCACCAACAACTTCGTCGCTGAGGTCGTTCCATAACTTCTAGGATGCATTTGTCTACTGAAAATTTACTATAGGAAATGTTAAATATTTTATCAAAAATGTTTCTTTTTGTGAACTGTAAGATAAACTTTTTTATAAAACTCTTTAGGGCACAGTATCTTCGAGCATATATTACTAGAGCCATCGTCCAAATGGACTTTGTTTTGGTACAGGGGGAAAAATAGTGTCCAGCATTCCCATTGGTGTTTTATTTAGCTTGGCATGTCAAATCATTCAAAATCCTCAGAACTGTCATTTGATTTTCGATTTTCATTAATTTCTAGCTTATTTTTGTAGTTTATAAATGATTTTTTGTATTTTATTACTTTACTGATACAAATTTTAATAATGGTGAGAGTTTGTGTAAGTTGTAAATAGAAATAAGAAAAGGCATCGTTAAGGGCATTTCACAAGTAAGTAAGCATTAGTGTTTCTACCATTTTTTTAAAAGAAACATAGTACCTACATTTTATGCAAAAGGCCATTAAACATGAATTTAAAATAAATGGTAAATTTAGTGAATTAAATTTAAAGAACTTGTATTATGTATGAAGAATATTGTTTTTGATTTTGGACTCTACTGAAAAGTTACAAAAAAATAATCATAAATTTTCAATATAAACAAGCTTTTTGTTTTTAAGTCATTTTATCATGATAATGTTGAAGATGTTAAATCAATAATTTTTGTTTTTATAGGTTTCCAGCTATTCCTGCCAAAAAAACACATTTGGTGAAACATATTAAAACTTACTCCAGAAAACATTTCAAATAGTAATGTTTTATGTTTCAATCATTTTTCTGGATATATATTTATGTCAAAGACTGGATGCTGAGGAAGAACTAGATTAATTCCAGGTGCATTGCCATCAGCATTTACTGAGGCCCCAGAAGAAGATGAATCTAAAAGGTAAAGAACCCTGCACCCTTCTTGTGGGTTATTCGTTCAAAATTTTTAATTTTTTAGTGATGATCTGAACCATGAATCCTCTGTTGCAGAAAAAGAAAATGCAGAATTAGAAAACATGTAAGTAACTAAGTACTTTTTAATACAACACATTTTATTTTAAAATAATTACCTATTACTACCTATATTTTTTATAAATCACAAAAATTGACAATAATTATTTTGTATTAAATGTACCTATGTTCTTTAATTAAGTAGACTACTAGTCGTTAAGAAATAAGTAAAACCTAATGTGAGTTTTTCAATAAAAAAGTAATTTTAAGCTTCTTAATAATCGAAGCTTAAAACAGTTTTCCAATAAAAATGAAGCTTCACTTATTTGTTAAAGACAAGCAGTGCAAATGTACCTAAGTACCTAGGTATTAGCTTGATTTCTATTTGTAGAATAGCGTTTAGTAATATCTATTGAACATTGGTTACAAGTAATATTTTTACACGTGTGTTAAGAGATATCATAAATATTTGTATAATATACCTACTATTTATTTATATTTTTGATTTTTAAATGTAAGCTTTTTATCTTTTTTATTGCCTATTATTTCAACCTTCATTTTTCAGTTATACACTTTCTGATGTTTGAATTAAAAAAAAATCTGATGTTTCCAACACAAATAATAATAATAATAATTATTTACTATAACTAGACAGGTACCTACTTAAATAATGCAAGTTTATAAAATATGTGCATAATTTAAAGAATTTTGAAGGTATGTATCAAATTTATTATTTATATTAATTGCAAACCCCGTAAAAATGATGCGACACTGGTAATAGTGTCTAGGCATTTCCCCTCATAACGTAAACAAACCCTATTGAATGCGGACTCTATGAAATATATATGCTCGAAGCACAGTATATACTTTAATTGCTTATTCTAAAAATTTACTTACATCAATTTGTATAACAGTAATCAATAAATTTAAAGTAGTTAACTGCGAAAGAGGCTGTAGCTCTCCATCAGGAGTAGACATGCATAATCTGCATATTGTAGGAAAATCTTGATTTGTTATCATTTTAGTTTTCATTTTCAGATTGGTAGTTTTTGTTGCTCTATTTAAACTCAACAATAACAACAACAAGAAACACTTCTAACCTCTAATCTTTCAAGGACTAGAACTACTTATTCTTCCTCTTTGGACTACAAAGAGTTCTGTAGACAGATAACAAATAACCAAAATGGTTAGACTTAGAACTTATTTGGTACAAGCTCCAAATTCATTCCAAAAAAGAAGAAAAATTTGCGACGTCAAATTGGTAATCATGCATTTTCAATTTGTCAACTGTCAAGCAGTCCATTTTCCATTTTAGTTATGTCAGACAGGAAATATTTTTTGTTTTTCGAGTAACAAAAGGTTTCTTGTTATAAGAAGGTGACGACTGTGCGCTAGGCAATGTCCGAGGCGGCATCAAAAAAAATTGATGACCTACTTCATCGCATCCAAAACGAAAGGAGTCCCCCAAATCCACCACCACCTATGAGTCGCTCTGGTAATGGGGCTCGAAGGGCTCCTCTACCATGTAAGTAGCTGCACTACGAATTTAACTTTTTATTTATTTAGAATATAAATGTACTTTAGAATTATAAAGATCCTATAATAAAAATAAAAGTATAATGTGTAACATAATAATTTTTTTGACTTCCAAAAACAGCTAGTTTTCTTTAATGCTCTAGTTTAAGACAATTTACCATATCAGTATTTCGTTTATAGATATATATTTTATTGAGCATTAGTTATAGTACTTTAATGGTCAAAAATAATTAAATTGGCCTAATTATCATGATTAAATAAACAAAAAAAGTATATAATGATTGAAAATTTGTAAAAATGGCTGAAGACATGAGGTAAAATATCAAATGTTATTATTTAGAACAAATAAAACATTCTCAAGAATAATATATGGACATCCTATATATTTACAATGTAATTTATATTATTTAACAAGTTTAAGGTACATTCAGTCATTTTTACATAGTAATAAGCAATATTCATAGTTTTAATGATTTTAAAATAAAACTTTATAGAAAAAATTTAATCAATAGCATATGATTTGGTACAACATTGATTGCTGCTTTTTAAATTGTTTTGATAACTATCTCACAATTATTATTAATAAAAATATGTACAAAAAGAATTAGAAATCAGAAAGTTTAAAGCTTAGCTAATTTATTTATCTTCACTATGTTTATGTTAATGTTTGTGCTTATGTTATTCGTATAGAATAACAGAAAGTTACTTTTCTTATTAACTAACAAAAACTGTTTTAGTGAGTCTAAACAACAGTGGCAGCCCAGTTATGGCCAGGCCTCAAAATTTATCATTTAGTGCTAAACAAAATGATAATCTAGAAACAGAAAGGAAACTAAAAGAGATTATGAGAATTAGTGGTGATTTAACAATAGATGGAAAACTTTATAAAACGGATATCAAAGACATGGAACATATAGAAGAACTTGGAAATGGTACATGTGGACATGTAGTCAAAATGAGACATATACCTAGTGGAAGTATTATAGCTGTTAAGGTAAAGTACTTGAATAAAAGTTGTCTCCTGTGGTATTAGAAAGTTATTCTCCCATCTGTTTGATTTAAAATAATTACTTAACATGAAACAAAATCTATTCTGACCCTATACCCCTTCATTACAAAAAGTTATTTTTGTTTACCTAATTCTATTACTTATTTGTTTTTTAAATAACTGAAATCCTATTTAAAAGTACATCATAAGAAGCTAAAATACAGGTTGGCAATTTTTTGCTTGACCTCTTTACCAAGTTGCCAGCATTAAACTGGTGAGTTCTCTGTCATTCAAAGATTGATTTTTCAAACTGTGGCAACTGTTAAGTCGGGCCAAGTTTTTCTCAAGCAACTCAACTATTATGAAGAAAATAAAAGTATCTTTAATTTAAGCTATGATGGGGTAATTATCTAAATGAACTCATCTGTTTAAAGCTTGCAACTTGATAATAGTCTCAACAAAAAATTACTGGTATCTATGCTACTATGTTCTTTAATTAATATTATATATTTATTTTTTTTTTTTTTTAGCAAATGAGACGCTCAGGAAATAGTGATGAGAACAAAAGAATCATTATGGACATAGAAGTAGTTTTGAAATCACATGACTGTAAATATATAGTACAATGTTTAGGTTGTTTCATAACAGATTCTGAGGTCTGGATCTGTATGGAACTTATGGACACATGTTTTGATAAGTTACTAAAGAGATTCAAACAATCAATTCCAGAAGAAGTTTTGGGGAAAGTCACAGTTGCAGTAAGTAGATCTGACATGTCTTCTCCACACATATTTTATGATTGTATAATCAAGAAATTGTTTCATTTGATTAATGACATGCAATTTTTAAATTAATTGATTCTGACAAGTGGGATCTAAAATTAATATTGCAGCGCAGTTTGTGCTTAACATTGGAACTACTCAAAGACCTTTTTTTGATGAACGCAAAGAAAATTCAAAGTTCTAACCACAATTATTTATAATAATTGTTTATTTTATAATGTTAATATTAACTGTGGTTTCCTTTATTGACAATATCACATTAGAGAGACTGATAACACCTTTTTACTCAGTTTTAAATATAATTTTTTTTTTATTTGCTTCTAAATATTTATTTTTATATTTTTGCTTTTTTGATTCAAAATCTGATGTGTCCAACACATCTTTCCTACCTGGTTATTATAGGCTTTTTCAGATTATTTTGTACAACCTATTGTATCACCCCTGTAAATGTTTAGAGAATGAACTAAATACGCACATTTTCCACACAAATCTTACTTGAAACATTTTTTTTTATAAATATATTCATTGCTAACAAAAATACTGAAAAATTAAAATTTTACAATTTTTCCTAAATATTTCCATTAAAGTCCATTTGAGAGAAATCATATCTGGACTTTACAGCCAAACAGTCTTTTCTCTTTCTTGTGGTTTACTCCTACATAATTTTTTCTGCTCTTTCCATTGGTGCTAAGTCCTATTATTTATAGTTTTCCAGATATGTTTTTAAAACCAATATTAAGTCCAATTTTGATTAAAGTTATACGGTATTAAGTAATTATAATATCGTTTAGCTCTAAATTAATGAAATACACAAAAATATTAAGTCCCATAATTTGTATTATGTCCAAAGATTGTGAGGTTATGTTTTGGACTTAATATTATTTTCCACTAGAAACTGTTTATAACTTGTGTTGTTTTGTGCAATATTTTTGCAAATTAAGATATTTTTTTATAAGTTGAAATACTTTTTACTTAACGTCAGTGAGATAAAATATCATTTCAGACACAAAAAATTTTAAGCATGGCTCGATTTTTATTAAAAGTAATTAACTTTAAATACTGTCGACCATTTTTTAATTCTTGTCTTTTTCTAAAATAAAGATCTTAAATGATCTTTGGCTCTAAAGTACAGATATATAGAAGAAAAATTTAGAGAATGATATCACAAACAACTTTTATTTGAACAATTCTCTTAAAAATTCGAATTTTGCAAGTTTTGTCAATTTTCTCGAATATGGACCATTTTAGAAAAATTATGTGTACAACAAAAATCAGAGAATACTATTACAAGCAACTTTCATTTGAAGAATTTTCTTCTCCAAGCATAAATAACAGCTATTTTTCATAAAGTAGAAAAACGACCCCTTATAGAGTACCGCTAGATGTTCCTACTATGCCCAAAATTTAATCAGTTCACCTCAGGATGGATTAAAGCTAAAATTTAAAATTTGGTGTTTTTCTCTTTATGCTTTTTTGAGTTATCTTAAAAATTCGAAATTTGCAATGTTTTCAAATATCTTGAATACGGTCCATTTTAGCGAAATATTATATAGAAGAAGAATTATGGAGAATGACATCACAAACAACTTTTATTTGAGCAACTTTCTTAAAAATTCGAATTTTGCACTTTTTGTCAAATTTCTCGAATATGGACCCCAAAACGTAAAAAACCGTCGAAAACCTGAGGTCGAAAAAAATCATGATTCCTATACTTTCCTTAGGATAGCCAGGATAGTAAAAAGACAGTATTTACAGGAAATATGTTGTTTTTAATTTTTAGTGTGAAATAACTGTATTTTGGAGTTTTTTATTTGAATATTTTTGTTAAATATTATTATATTTTTATTTATTTAGATACCCTCTATAAATTTAAGTTTTAATGGTGTTATTAACTTTTATTCCTTTATCTTAATTGAAAATATTTTTGATAAAATGTTAATACTTGAAAACTGAAAACGAATTTTCTCTTAGAATAATTAACATCACAGCTTCCAAATTTATTAAGGTTTTCTGCGACTGAAATTTGGCACATTCTGAAGTAGGCGGGTCCACATTGTCTTCAATATCAACTGTCACTTCAATGCTGAGTTCTGCCAATGCACATATACGGGGGTTCAGGATTTTCTTCTGGTCAATATCACTAGTTTTTATATCTACTTAAATTTATAATTTTAGTCTATTCACCTCGCTAGGAATAGGGATCCCATTTCTGATGACTGGGGTTGTAACATCCCCAATGAAATTCTAAATTACTTTTTAATTGTTTATTTTACCGATTAGTATTAATATTATTATTCGCATACTGTGGGCTGGTCATCATTATTCCACCCAGACTGACAAATTTTTTTGTCGTCTTTTCTACACTGGGAAAACTAACTGCAAAATAACTTGTCTGACAAAATATCTTAAAATAAGGACAAAACTCTAAATGTAATCAAAGGCTCATCTGTCAGCGTGAATTTTGTCTCAAATTGTTTAATTGAACAGCTTACTGTCGATTTATTTAGTGCATGATTGCCACTGAAAATTGTACGTCATTTTTGTAGTGCGTTTTTATAACAATTAAACGTTTTCCCATAACTTCTAATCGCATGATCTGTACATGACAGCTGTCAACAAATAATTACCATACTATCTTTACAAACCAAATGGCGGCCAATTTATTTATTTATATCAAAACATCCCGGATTTGTTTATTTATTTATATTTATTTTCTTTTATTTGTTTCTATTTATTTATGAATAAAATCCAAAAACCTTGAAATACGTCATTATTTACTTATAATGAGTAGCTACAATTCCAATTTTCAAGGTTTTACCTTTAAAAAACCGAAAATCTCATACAAACCTTCACCTCCTGTTTTCCCCATTAATATGTAAAAATCCAAAAACCCTGAAACATGTCTATTTATTTATGTTGAGTAGCTATAATTCCAATTTTCAAGTTCCTACCTTTAAAAAAATCGATACATACAACATTTTACCCCCCCCCTCCTTAAAATGTTAACACCAAAAACCCTGAAACACGTCATTATTATTTATATAAATCATGTATGATCCCTTGTTGTGTGAAAAACAAATCTATCCCACGGGAACCGTACGTTTTTATTCCAGACTGTAAACTATGTCTGTGCTAAATTTCATCCAGATCCGTTCAGTCGTTTTGGCGTGATTGAGCAACAAACATCCATCCATCCAAACTTTCGCATTTATATAGTAATAGGATTAATAAATTAATTAATTCAAACGAGATACTCACGGGGGTCGGATTCCATGTAAATAGTTGTTAACAAGTTTGTTTGACCTCGACAGTAGCGCGCTAAGCGCTTACGGTTGAACTACACCTGTCAGTTTCAGTCGATAAAGTAGAACACTACTAATTAAAGCGATTTAAAAATTGGCGGGCTTGATATTTTAGATATTTGAAGCAATTTGAAGTAACATTTTCCTATTTGACAACTTTTACTTACAACTACTAAACAAACAACAAGTTTAGTGAATTTTTGTTGTAGGTAAATGTTGAAAAATGGAAAATGTCACTTGTTTTAACTGAAAAATAAAATTAGTTGAAAAATAAAACACATTTTTAACAAGTTTTATTTATTTAGAATTACCATGTAATTACATGTGTCTCATTATCTTCTAACTGCATATTTTGAACATAACAAGCACTATATCACACACTAAATTACTGAAAAATAAAAATATAATAGGATAACCAGCATAGCACATCACAATGTTTTTATTATTAAAAAAACCAGGTATAGTTTTTATGAAAAGTCAAACTAGTTATAAACACAATTGTTTTAATGTTTTAAATATCCCTTATTAATCCAAGGACAAATCATTCTAATTCTTATACGTATTGTCCCTTTAAGACATTTCCCATCTATTTCAATCAAGAATAGTTGTAATGCCTATTTCGGTTACAATAAGCCTCCAGCTTCAATATAGGTGGGCTTTGAAATTCACCCTAATTAAGAAACACATTTATGCACATTCCAAAAATCTCCATACCCAGGAATATCTAAAACAAAACAAAAATAAAGGTGCAGTGTGTATCTTAAAATTAAAAATTAACAGAGTCATAACTTTTTTAGATTCTTACATTTTTCTTGCAATAAAAGGTATAAAAATTTCAATAAAAATAGAAAACATCTGATTTATGATCTTAATAGGTGAACTATGCAAAAATTAACAAGTTGACCTAAATAGCATATAAGTTTTTGAACATATTTGGGTATTACTTGATAAATAAAATAATGAATATCACCCAAAAATTGAACAATAACTTTTTGAGCACAAATCATTCGCCTTTTTTCATTATGGTCTTTATGAGTAAAACTAGGATGAGGTTCTATCTCCGGTTCTACAATATTTGTTTGTAAATTCACACATTTCGCTCACAACTCCTTTCATTTTTTTAACCGCAAATGTTTAAAATGTGGATCCATGTATCTCTAGAGTAATAATAGCAGGAAAAACATAAAATTTCTTGTTAGTTTTGTGAGAAAAATACTTACTTCTGCAATTAAAATTTAAATGAATCAGAAGTTACCGATTTTCTTAAGAACCTCTTTATAGTAAAATTAGTTAAATCTAACTTACACTTAATACAATTTACTCACCTACATTTGAAAAAAATATATTTGAAAATAAAAATAATATCAAGCTGACATATTTATAGCAACATAACCTAATTTATTTTCAAAGCCAGATTTACACCATCTAATAATATTTAAATTTAGCTTTAACTTTAAATTTATTAACGATTATCCATGTATTTGATCACACATTATATTAAAGTTAAATTTCAAGGGGTAAATCAGTAAAATGATTGATTTCTTTGTCATTATTTTTGAAAACATTTTTTTTTATGGGTGTAAAACGGGTTTGAATTTAGTGATAGCAGCGCGCTAAGCGCTTACGGTTCAACTACCAACAAGGAAACAAGTCCCGCCATTTATTCAAACCTTC